GGCCCTGGCCGGCAGTTTTGAGCACCCCGTGACCGCTGGGCCCAGCAGCGCGGGCAGCCCCGCAGGCCGTGTCGCCACAGCACCAGGGTCAGGAGCAGCGGGAGCAGCACACACCGAGAGCGGGGCCAGGTCAGTGCAGCGCTTGCCCCTCGCCCTGGGCCCCCCGGCCCGGTCGCAGGCCCAGCCCCGCCCCGCTCCTCCCTCCCCGCCCCGCTATCGCCTCCCGGGCGGCCCCGACGCACTCCCCGCGGCCGGATGGCGGCGGATGGGACGGGACGGGACGGGATGGGACTGGATGGGATGAGATGATCCCGCACTCACATCTCAGCACCGCCACCGCGATCGGCGCCGCGCGCGCGGGAACGGGCCGCGCGCAGTGATGACGTCACGGCAAGGGCGGGGCGCTTAAAGGGACAGGAAGGAATGGAGTGAGGGGAGGATCGAGATCAGGATCGGGAGTAGGATTAGGATCGGTCAGTCAGATGGGGAAGGGCCTTGATTTGAAGCCGTGTGAGGACACTGAGGGCACATGGTGTGTTCAGCTGGAGAAGAGGAGACCTCACTGCAGTTCCAACTTCCTGGCGAGGGGCAGAGGAGGGGCAGGCCCTGAGCTCTGCTCTGGGGGGACCAGGACAGCACCCAGGGAATGGCTGGATCTGTGTCAGGGCAGGGTCAGGTTGGATCTCAGGAAAAGGTTCTTCCCCCAGAGGGTGGTTGGGCATTGACCAGGCTCCCCAGGGCAGTGGGCACAGCCCCAAGGCTGCCAGAGCTCCAGGAGGGTTTGGGTGATCCTCTCAGGGACACGGTGGGATTACCGGGAGCTGATTGCAGGAATAGCCTGAGCACAGGGTGGGTGTTGCTGCAGAGGGTCAGTTGCCCCTTGCAGCTGTATTGCTCTGTGGCCGTGGTGCTCAGGGGACATGGGCTGGCCAGGCCTGGCCTCGTGTGGTAGAGCACCCAGTGCTCCCGGCCAGCGCTGCTCCAGCCCTGTTCGTTCAGCACATTTGACCTGTGCAGTGAGCACCAAGTCTTGTTTCACAGGATCACAGAACCATAGAACACCCTGGAACTGCAGTGAGGTCTCCCCTCAGTCTCCTCTTCTCCAGCTGAACACACCAAGTGCCCTCAGTGTCCTCACACGGCTTCAAATCAAGGCCCTTCCCCATCCTTGTGTCCCTCCTTTGGACACTCTCTAATGGCTCAATATCTTCCCTACATTGTGTCCCCCCAAACTGCCCCAATATTGCAAGGGAGGCCGCCCCAGGGCAGAGCAGAGCGGGACAATCCCCTCCCTGGCCTGGCCGGCCATGCTGGGCCTGGTGCCCCCAGGAGAGGGTTGGCCCTCCTGGCTGCCAGGGCACTGCTGACTCCTGGCCAAGTGGCCATGGACCAGGATACCCCAGGCCCTTTCCCGGCACTGCTCTCCAGCCTCTCATTCCCAGTCTGTCTGTCCATCCGGGGTTGCCCCATCCCAGGGGCAGAATCCAGCCCTTCCCCTTGTTGAACTTCCCATGGTTGGTGATTCCCAGCCCTTGGATCTGTCCGGGTCTCTCTGCAGGGCCTCCTTGCCCTCGAGGGACTCAACAGCTCCTCCCAGTTCTGGGTCATCTGCAAACTTGCTCAGTGTCCCTTCCAGTCCTGTGTCCAAGTCATTTATGAAGATGTTGAAGTGCTCAGGGCCCAAGACGAAGCCTCGTGGAACCCCACTAGTGACAGGCCACAGTTTGATGTCACCCCAGTCACTGTCACCCTCTGTGCCTGACCCGTGAGCCAATTTCTTACCCCTCACAGGGTGTGTTTATCCAACTGTGAGGTGGACAGTGTGTCCAGAAGGATCCTGTGAGAGACAGTATTGAAAGCTTTGCTGAAATCCAGAAAGATCACTTCATCTGGCCTCCCTTGATCAACCAGGTGGATGACCTTGTCATAGAAGGAAATCAGGTTTGATAAGCAGGACTTTGCTCTCATGAAGCTGTGCTGGCTGTGACCAATAACTGTTGTCTTTCAGGTGTTTTTCAGTCCCTCCCAGAATAATCTTCTCCGTAACTTTACCAGGCACTGAAGTGAGACTGACAGATCTGTAGTTTCCAGGGTCCCCCTTCTCGCTCTTCTTGAAAATCGGGACAATGTTCACCAGCTGTACTGGGTTTGCATGTCTGGTTTGTGCAGCCACACTTACTGCTGTAATAAAAGTTAAACTTTCCTACAAACTCTTCCCTGCATAGTGATATTAATGAGAGTAACAGCTGGGGCTTCAACTCTCCACTTTCCATGATCTTGACCACCCAGCAAGCTGTTGGCCTACACAGGGAGATGCTGGGCCCAGCTTCCTGTGTAGGTTGCAGATTCACAGCAAACAAACTCTATTTTGAGGGGGTGGCAGATGTGTCATGTTAGGGAACAGGAGCAGAAAGTGGCAACACTGCTGAGAGGGGACTCTGTCGCTCAACTGCAAGAAAATTGTGAGGAGGAGAATGAAAGACTTAAGATGGAGCATCATCCAGTGGCATTTCATGTTATGTGGGAAGGATATCTCCCCCTCTCTTCAGCTGAAGTGTCACCATAGGCATTTTTGTTAAATTCCTAATAAAGGAAGAGAGCTTCACCTCTGGAATGCAGTGTAAGAGCATGTCCCATCTACCTCCACCACAGGACAAGGGCGAGACCAGGACAGGTGTCTGTAACATCACATGTGGCAAGGAGAATAATTAGTTTATTTTCTCTTCTGCTGCAAAACCAAGGGGGTATTACATAAAACCAGCCATTGGCAGGTTCAGAAAACAAACAAAAAAAAACCTAAAGAAAGGGAAAAGGAAGTTGTTCTTCACACAACATCTTGTCAAAGGGCAGATTTCCCTGCCAGAGCACATTGTAGCCTACTAAAAGTTTATATGGGTTCAAAGAGAAACTGCACTATGTCTAATGAGGACTATCAGGAGCCTGACATGATTATCATGGAAAGATTTAGGCTGCAGAAGCCCTCTAGGACCATAGAGTCCAACCGTTCCCACAGCACTGCCAAGGCCACCACTAAACCATGTCCCGAGTGCCACATCCATGTGTTTTTTTGAACACTTCCAAAGATGAGAATTCCACCACTGCCCTGGGCAGCCTCTTCCAATGCCTGACCACTGTTTTTGTGAAGAAATTTCCCCAATATCCAACCTAAATCTCTCCTGGCACAACCTGAGGCTGTTTCCTCTTGTCCTGTCACTTATTACCTGGGAAAAGAGCCCAACCCCCCCGGCTCCCCCCTCCTGTCAGGGAGTTGCAGAGCCGGAAGGTCCCCCCTGAGCCTCCTTTTCTCCAGGCTGAGCCCCCCCAGCTCCCTCAGCTGCTCCTGGTGTGCCAGCCCCTTCCCCAGCTCCGTTCCCTTCCCTGGATATGCCCCAGCCCCTCAATGTCTCTCTTATCTGAGGGACCCAGAACTGCCCCCAGGGCTGGAGGTGCCTCAGCAGTGCCAGTACAGGGATGGGCACTGCCCTGGGCCTGTAGCCGCACAATTGCTGGTACAGGCCAAGTGCCATTGGCCTTCTTGGAAAGTCTCTCAGTGCTGCACTGTGGGGGTGTACTTTGGAAGTGTTACTATGTGCTTACACTACTTTTACATTCCTGCTCCAGATCTGCTAGTCGGCCTGCTGGAGTCAGGATGATGTCCCAAAGGAACCTGGGACAGACCCAACATGGCTGGTCTTCTCACCTTTCTCCCAGTTAACTCGTTACATGTGAAGTTTTAGGTACTGCAGCCTTAATTCTTAGGTTCTATGGTGCTTTAATAAAGTCTTCAGTCCATTTTTGTGCTGCCCATTTTTGTCTATATTTATAGTAACCACTGAGTAAGGGAAGCCTTAAGAAATGTGCCCATGAGAGAAAAACTGCAGTCATGGCTGGAGAACAAGACACAATACACCAAACCTCTTCTGTACCACATTTTAGCTGCTAATCTGAAAACTGCTTTATGAAAGATGGCACGTACCACTGCCTTGATGCAATAAATGGCAATATGGATGTCACAAAGATCAGCCACAAGTCTCAGCTTGCCTTACCTGCGGGACCTATGGCTTTCAACAGGTTGTACAGTTCAGTGACAGCCTTTTAGTGCTGGATCCCAATCTGGCCTGCACCCCAGGTGCTACTGCAGAGAGAAGAACCTGGGGAAGAGGCTGTGCTTCCTTGGGCCAGAAGGATGCAGACTTGTTTCCCTTGTCTGTGCTCATTGTTTTGGGGCTTTAGGGCCCAGTGTTTAACGTTTTCTTCTCCCTCAGTTGTGACAAAGCCATAAGGGCTGGGTGATCCCAAAGCCATGCACACCCTTATTCCCATAACGGCTCTCATCTCTCCAAGGGTGGTCAAGTGAGGTCACTGAACCAGCAGAAAAATATTGCTGTGGAAAAGTTTTCCTGCCACCTATGCCCCTGGAGCAGGTTCCTGCAGAGCTGTGAGCAGCAGAGCCAGCCCCAGGACGGTGGTGGCAAGGTGAGAGGGGGCTGATCCCCCTCACAGTGGCTGCCAGCAGTTGGCAGGACTGAGCCATAAGGCCAAGCCTGAACAAGGAGGGATATTCGAACACCTCATTTGGGGGCACTAGCAGAAGTGAGAACAGGAGTCCGCTTCAGTTTCAGAGCGAATGGCACTGCTATGACCTTCTACCCCATGCCAGCAGCCCACAGCAGTGCTGAGCATGGAGCTGGTGCTTCCAGCCCTGGATGGGACCTCTAGGGACAGCATCGCTGCCTCCCGAGGGGCTTCTCTTCCATCCTGTGGCACAGGTGTGACCGGCACGCCTGGGCTGTGCTCTGGGGTGGCATGGCCAGCTCTGTGCCCCGAGGCCGCCGATGGGATGTGACTCCTCACGGCCCCGCAGCGGGGCTGCCCCGAAAGAGTTAAGAGAGGGCTCCTCCCTCCCGGTACAGAGTCTCCTCCTGGGTGACCTTCCCAGCAGCCTCTGCTGGCTCTGCCCCAACCAAACAAAGAGGGCAGGAGCTTTTCAAAGAGCAGCCTCCCAAAAAGTTGGGTGCCGCGAAGCCGGTCTGGGCGCGGCCCCGAGCAGGCGGCGGCGGCAGCGAGGCGGTGCCGTCGCCTGGGAGGATTCCGGCAGCCGTCGGCAGTCCCTGTACGTGGGTGCTCTGCCCCTCTGCTTCTGTGCACGGAGCTGGTTTGGGTGCTGGGAGCGTCACGGGGAAGGATGAGAGAAGCTCCGGCAGTGGTAGTTTGAGGGGGTGGGAGCACGGGGTGGGGTGTTGGCGAACCCCGGTGCCCGCGGCCACGCCGGGGCAGAGGCACCGGGGGCGAGCAGAGATGCGGAGGCTAGGGCTGCGCTGATGTTCAGGGTCGGGGCTGGGACTGGTGTGCCCGAGCTGAAGTGCTGTCCTCCAGCTGCTTCTTGAACTCAGAAACCTGCCCAGCTGTTTCCTAGCGGAAGTCCAGACCCCTTTGGATGCTGGGCGGTGGGTTTAAGGCAGCAGGTAACCACAAAGCTGCTCGGGCAAGACACCGTGGACAAGCAGGAGAAGAAAGAACAGAGCTCCACCAGGGCTGCTTTTGACTCTTACCTCTGTGTTTTTCTGTCCCTTCCCTCCTGCACTTCCAAGCTGCTGAGTACAGGCTATTTACTGCCACTTCCTCAGGTGAACTGCTCTGCTTGTGATGTGGTTGGGACTAATTAATGTCTCTAAATCCTACCTGAGGCTGAGTGCCTGTCCTCTGTGTTGCATAGACTTGCAACTGGTGCTTCATTTGCCCTTCCCATTCACTGGCGTTGGGTTGTGGTGGTGTGGCTACAGATGGCTCTCCTTGAGCCCCACGAGCTCCAGGGGATCTGTGGGTCACTCTCCCCACAGCAACAGTGGCATTCATGTATCGCGGTGAGGTGTGAGTACCCTGTACCAGGCATGGCTTAGCATTTGTAGGGATTGCAGTGCGCTGGCTCAGCCTGCAGCCTCTGGATGCTGGTGCTTTCTGTGTGCCGGAAGATCTTTGGTCTCCCTCCCTGTTCAGTCTGACACTCCTTCTGCACCTGTATGAGGGTAAGGGTAGATGTGCTTCAGAGGATACAGCCTGTGTGGCTTCCTTAGAGGAATTGCAGGGTGTGGAATTTGTCTTCTGAGGACTTGGAAACTTTTCATCCTGATGTGTAGTAACAGCATTTGTTATTGTTGCAGAGAATTGAGAGAGTTCCAATGATTGCACCGTCGAGTAGCTACATAGGTTTGCAACAGCAAAAACAGGAGATTTTGAGGGTTCCTCTCTAGTTTGCAGAAGGAGGTGAATTTATAAATTTAGCTGAAATACTTAAAGGTGAATTAAGTCTTCACCCATAGCCTCTGAACACCTAGCCTGTCCTCTCTCGAGGTCTGAGGCTTTTCTTGCAGTGCACACTGGTAGCTAGTCCTTGAACAGGCTTAGGACTTCAGGACTGTCTGCCCCTGGATGTGCCAGTGCATACATTTGTGTATTTCAGTGCTCTTAACCTAAAACCTGTGCCAAGATGCCCTTTTTTCTCTGTTTTCCTGCAACACTTATATGCCCTGATGCTGTAGGAATACGCCTGCTCAATGTTAAACTTGGTCAAACATCCTGCTTTCACCATAAGGAACAAATGTCATGGTACACTTTGCAGTAATTTCTTTGTTTCCTCTTCATGCATGTGAAAGACACTAGAAATTCAAGGTGTGCTTGTGGTTTAGCCAGTGCAGTTCTCTCTGCTGGAAGGGGTGCATCTTTGGAGAGCAGTGACTCAAAGTGCATAATGCTTTAAAGAGAGGCACAGGTAAAGACAGGGCCTTGAGATACTTGGCATTTGTTGTTCTTGGCTGAATACTTAAATTCTCCTTGACAAATTCAGTTTGAGGGCATAGATGGATTTTGGGCCTGGATATGAAATCTAGCCTGTTCCTCTCCACAGGCCTTCCCAGGTGCTCTGTGAAAGCCTCTTGTTCCTTCAAGCTGTAGTTCCACAGTGCTTAATATCAGGCTTGGATGCTCCAAATAATTTCTTAATACAAACCTGACCTTTACCAGGTACAGGCACAATATCACAACCATGCTGAATTTGTCAGACCAAGTAATATGGTGTTGAGGGAGACCTGTGGGTTTTGGAATGCAGGAGAGCTGATCCAATGTGAAGCCTTTTTGTTCAAAGCTATCAATCAGTGTGATTTTTTTACAGAGTCTCTGCTCTGTGCTGTGTGGCCTGGGACCTTTTCACCATCAGAGGGGATTTTCCTGTATTCCTGAAACTGCTCCTTTCCTCCCCTCAAACGTGAGATAACAGTACTAACAACACTAATACAGTTTTGTTACCCTGTGCCCCTAAACGTCCCAACATGCTCCTAGTTGTTCTCCCACTGTATCTTTATACTCTATTCCCCAGTGAGCTCCAGGCTTATACTGACTTTGTCTGGGGCAAGAGCAAATATGTGTATCATCCTACTCACAATTGGTTTTGCAACCCCCCAAACAGTTAAAGAAACCTTGTGGGGATCCAACCTTCTTCAGTCTGCATGTTCTGCAAACCTTAAAGTAAACCCATGAATTTTTGTATTTTGCATTTGAGGATTTAAAGCGTAGCCAGGCAGGGCTAGCTCCTCAACTGCTCTGAAAGCAGAGCCTAAAGGAATGAGGCAGTTATCATGGGTGACAGAGCAAAGCAAGCTGTGGGCTCTAAACAGCTCACTTCAAACCCTGGGCCAGACAGCCAGACCTTTCTCTCTGCCATTCTCATGGCTGAAGTACAAGTTGGTTGAAAAGCTTCTTCTGAGGTTACCCCTTCAGAGGGGAGCCAGCTCGGCTCAGGTGGCAGCAGCACTGTCTAAATCCTCTTGATCCATCAGCATTTAATAAAACCTGTAACAGAACTGTTCCTTCACCAACTTTGCAAAGAAAGTTAGGGCTTGTAAGGTGGGATGCAGCTGTTTATGTGGCTGGTAACAGTCAGTGCTGTCAGATAATGGCTGCTTGGCAAGTCCCACAAAGCAGTGACACTGACTAAAATGGCAGCCTGGGAGAAATGGCCATTTTTCCCTGGCACAGATCTTCCTGCTTTGGCAATATTCCAGCATTGGACACCTAATACTGTTCACCTCTCTCCAAGCTAGGTTCCATTGAACCACATTGCCAGCTCATTGCCTTGCTTGGGGTGTCCTGTGCAGGGCCAGGAGTTGGACTCAAAGATCCTTGTGAGTCCCTTCCAGCTCGGGATATCCTGTGATTCCATGAGCCCCTTGTCATTACCTGTCTCCACAGAGCTAAGACTTTCCAGTCTGTCTGTACAGCAGTGAAACTGTTCCCTATGTGAAGAGCCAAGAACTATCCATGTCCTTTCCAAGCTGTGCCAGGCAGGCACTGGAACAGGGCCCTGAGGGCAGGAAGCCCAGTGGAGGATTGCTGTACCAGTTGTTTGTCCTGCCCACAGCTGTGTACAGAGCACAGTTCTCTGCAGGGTGAGGATTGGGGCATTCCTGGCAGACTCGCTCCTTCCACAGCACCTTTGCTCTACTTGATACACTTCTTGCTGTCTGAATCCATATCTGAATCCTATCCAGCACTGTCCTTCTTGTGCTTCTGGAGGATGATTTTAATAATTTTTTTCCCCTCTGAGCTGCTGCAGAGTGAAAAAGAACTTGTCTTGCCAGCTTCTGCAGTAGCTATTTAAAACTGTGGGAAAGCCATAAAACCAATGAGGATGGATGAGTGTCCCTCCCCAGTTGCTTGCAGCTGCTCCAGCTTCCCAGTATGTGCTGGGGATCTGAGAAGGAGATCTGGAAACCAGAAGCAATGGAAAGGGTGGGAAGAGGACCTTGTTGGGCTGCCACCAGCCACAAGGCCCAGATCTGACAGATTTGTCTTGTGTTTCCCTACAAGGTCCATGAGGATCAATCCCCTTTTGCCAACTCTGAATCCATTAGGAGTGAATTTCCCAAGCCCTGGTACACTGGCCTTGCGCTGTACAAAGTTAAAGTTGAAAGGGGAGAGACATATCCACATCCAACTTTGTTGTTCACGATCCTACATGGCCCTTCTTAGGGCAGGAGTATTTTGCACTCTGAGCAGCACAGCAAGCCCTTGAGCCCAACATCCTTTGGGATGTTAACAACATAAAGTGTCTGTTTTCAGTTGTTGAGACCAGACAGGATGATTTGCATCTTCTTGCTCTGCATCTTCATGTTCCCTGTGGGTCACAGCTTTTCCTCCTCCCACTCCTCCGTCTCCTTCAGTCAGAGCAGTTCTCAGCATCAGCAGTTTGTCTCTCCAGTGAGACCTGTTGCTCCACCTCTGTACCCGCTACCCTGTGGCTGTGCTGCTCCTGAAATGGTGGGTGGGAGCCTGTTGCTCTGGTTCAGCCCGTCTCTATGTAAGTGCCTACATCTCTCCAAGGCTGTTCCATCTCGGGGGCCAGGCTGTTGTGCAGCTAACTCAGATGGTTGAAATAGCCACTGAGAAAACACAAACCCAGGGTAACCTGTGGCATGGCTGTTGAAAGCTTAACTCTTCCTTGCTTCAACCCAGCATGAATTTCAGAAGCAGCTTGTACCTCTGCAGGGTAAACACTGCCCATGTCCAAGCTGTAAGACCGAAGGGAGAAGCCAATCTGCCCAGACACGAGCGAGCTCTGTGGTCACACAACTAATGTTTCACTCTTGGGGAATTTGGCATTCAAACCCAGGTAATCAAGGCTGCAGGACTGTGGGAGAAACAGGCAGCAATGGCTGGGGGTGTGTGTCTGTGTGTGCAAGCAGATGGGGGAGCTTTGCCCTGAGGGACTTGCAGGATGGACACTGGGGAGTTCCTCTCTCTCTCAGGATCACCTCCTGGAGCAGGGGCTTGTGCTGGCATAGAAACAAGTGGTGCAGAGGAAAAGCCTGTTTGCCCTAAGGCATGTAGTTAGGTAACATCACCTGGGTTGTAGGAAACTTGGATTCATGCTCTTCTTCCTCTTTCTTAGGGTTAGAGTTAGGGTTAAGCCTTAAATCCACTCTGCTCTGAAAGGAACTTGGGGATGTGTGGGAGTGCTGCCTTCGTTCTTCTCTCTTGAGGCTATTCCATTTTGCAGTATTTTCTGCTCCAGAGAGTGTAGGAGCTAAGGAAGTAATCCTGGTGAGGAGAAGGCTGCTCCAGGCTCTGGGCTGTGCTTTGGTGGATATAGCTGCTTGCAGAGTTATGGAATAGAAAGACTACCAGCAGCAATACCTGGGTAAAGCAGCTTTCCCAGCTACAACTAAGTACTTAAAAACTTCAGACATTGCAAGCATTCAGCAGCAGCTGAAGAAAGAGTGGCTGATCTGAAATTTGGACAGACACCTAAATTGGCCGACTGGAGCAAAATTCCTGTTGCAGGCCTGGTGGTATAACAAAGCATGCAGCTGCTCACACAAAGGTGTATGTCCAGCTGGCTGGGTAAGGTCTCAGAATCCAACCCACCAAAGGGCAAAACTTGGAGCCCATGGTGCTGTGGGACAGCCCTCCCCAGCTGGAGCTGTAAGCTGAGTCTTCCAGTCACTGTGTCTTCCCCCTGGGATTACCCATCCCACTGCAAAACAGGGGTGTGGGTGGGAGAGGACACTTGCAGACCATGAGGAATCACACTGGAGCCATCGTGGCTTGCAGGGGAAAGATGTAGAATCTGGGATTGCCAAAGGACTTGCAGCTGTGGCCAGTGGCACACAGTGTGACAGCTGGGGAGGTGGAGGCAAGAGGGATTTCAGAACAGGGGACTTACAGTGTCCACACTCAGCTCAGAGCACTTTGTGTGGACATGCCAAGCCAAGCTGACTTAGTGGTGCTGCTCTGTTTTAGAAGTAGCAAAGGCTGAGTCAGCCCAGAACAAGCTGTTACAGGGACTTTACGGAGGAGATGAAACCTTTTTGTGTTCCTGATATCCACAGAAATGGAAGGGGATCAAGGCAGAGAGTGAGCTCACACAATTGCAGTGCTGTAAATTTTCTTCCACGGATGCTCTTTTTCCCTGTTCTGCAAAACCACCTCTGGAATTAACTTCTCCAAGTGGCATAAGAAACCTTCAGAGGAACAATGTCACCCCCAGCCTGCCCCTGGAAAGTGAAGGGAACTCCATTCCTATGCAAAATCACAGGTCTAGGAAAATCTCTGAATCCTTCCCTCTCACTGGGTTGATTTTTGGTTTTCCTTGTGCAAAAATTATTGGAGAGTAACAAACACCTCGAAGGCTAGGTGAGTGTAAAGGTCTCATCTCTGTGAATGTGTAACTTGATAAGCTGTGTGCACGGCGGAAGCTGCAGCTCCATGGGAAAAATCCCCTCTGGAGAGGGAGAAAGAAGAGAAGGTGATGGACTCAGCTGTGGAAATAGGGAGCACATTTAGGATGGGAAAAAAAAGCTTAGTGCCATGGCCTAGTTGACAAGGTGATGATCAGTCAAAGGTTGGACACAATAATCCAAACTAATTGATTCTGTGGTCTTGGAGGAAATTGCTGGAATACTGTATTATCTGTTGCTTTCACTGGCAGCCCTTTTCCCCTGACAGGGGCAGAGAGTAGCTGCTGTGCACTTTGTCCACCCTCAAGGTGTAAGTAGGGCCGGAGCTGGATTTCGACGTGCACTCCTGCCTGCACTCACCTCCTGCATCTCCTGCTCGCCAGCTGAACTCTGACCCACAGCTTCTCAGTGTCTTTTCTGAAATGGCTTTCCAGATCTTGGTCTACCTCTGATCAGTAAATATATATTTTTTAAAAGCCTTGCTGCGGAGGCAAGTGCTGTTGTTGAAGCATAAGGAGCCTGGTGAAGCCTTGAGCATTGGTGATCTCCATGGAGCTGCTGCCTGCAGCCGTCCTGGCCAAAGACCTCATGCTGCTGCCCCTCCAGCCAATGGGGGGCTGTGGGGGAACACCCTGCATTGGGAATGCTGAGCTTATGTGGGGTTAGCGGGTGGTCTGTGCCTCCTGTGAGCTGTCCCCACGCCCAGGAAGGCAGAGCAGGGCCGTGGGAGCTCTGTGGAGGGCTGGGAAGGTCTGGAGGGGGTAAGCATGTGAAGAAGGAGGGTGTTGGGATGGTGGGGGGGTGGTACACGGTGCATGACATCTTCAGTGGAGAGGGAGCTGGAGGAGATGCTGCGTTTGCACATCTCCAAGACACTCTCATCATCCCCTTCCCTGTGGAGCTGGATGAGGGCTGCAGCCATGGGTGCCGGCTCTTCTGGCATTGATACAAATGGTATGTGTCTGTCCCCAGCTGCTCAGACACTCCAGTGTCCTCTGGCCATGTCTGGAAACACTCTGGGAGGAGGGCAGACTATCTTGCCAGGGCCCGAGCTCCTCATACCAGCAGCCTCAAGGGGATGGTCTCCTTGTAGCATCTTCCCTTGGCATGGGGAAGGTTGAGAATTTCTAAGCTTTTCCTCTTGCTCTGCAATTGCTGTGTCTGCGTCCAGGGACGTCTGTTTTCCTATATCCACTCCCCCAGCTCTTGTCTGCAAGGTCCCTAATGCACACAGCAGGGCATGGCATGGCCTTTAGATGCAAACAGAGCTGGATCTCTGGAGTTAATGTCTCTCTCTTTTGCCATAGAAGAAGTAAAATGCAGAGGGACACAACTCCTCTGTTAAATTAAGTGACTCCATTTTCCTGAGGCTGATGTCTCTGTGCCTCCTTGGCCAAGACAACATATTGTTGTCCTTTTTAAGATCCACATGTGTCTAGGGAAGCGGGGTTTGGAAAAGGCTCCTGTATCACATCTGCTTGGCAGCCACTTGATGCAGCCTCTATTGCTAATCCAGAAATTGTTTTGCTGCCTTATGGGAATTCTTGAAGGATATTTATCTCAGTGAAGTGAAACCCAAAAAGTATGTCCTTTAGGCAGCAGCTGCAGCATTGAGGGTCCAAGAAATGCCTGGAGATTAAGGAATTTGGTAGGAAATGGAAAAAACCCTCCACCATAGGTGTATAGGCATGTGCATGTTTACACATACATAGGTGTGAAGGGGGAAGCACAGGAACTGCAGCCATTACATTTACAGTTGTGCCTTCTTTGATTTTGCTTCTCCAGAGGTACAGGACAGTGCTCTCTCCAGACCCAAGAGCAGGCTCTGCAGCATCAGCAGTTCCCATGCAGGAGTTTCTACGTGGGCATCTCCAGTTCTGCTTGCTGTGACCTTCCAGGCTGCCAAGGAGACGTGAGGCTCTGCCGGGGACCTGCCAGCCTTGTGTGATGAGCAGCCACTTGCCAGAACTCACACCAAGCTTCCCGGGACACTGAGCTGCAGCTTGGCATCCTGACCGCTTCTGATTCCTTGCTGTGCTGCTGGCAGGGTGAGATTGATGTCCAGTTTGGGACGCTGGGCAGGGCCAAGCCCATCACCATCCTCTGTGCCCTTGGCAGGCTGGGGGACCAAGCTGGACCCCTCACTCTAAGGGGGCTCTGTGTGAGCGAGGGACGGGTTTGAGGCTGTCCATATTCATCCTGGTGGGAAGAGCCACCTCCTTTCCATCTGGGAACCGTGTCACTGCTGGAAGCTGGAAATGGCACCACATGCACCACAGGCCAGAGCCAGCAGCCTGGCAGCAGGGCAGTAGCTGAGCCTGAGCACCGTCCCCCAGGGCTTGGAGCTGCCTGGGGGGCTGCCGGAGTCCCCAGCACAGGCGTGCCCCAGGGATGTAGGAGCCGGGAGCAGGAGGGGCCCTGCAGCCATGGGCAGGCTGGACGACCATGCCAAGAGGAGGATCGTGGAGCTGCGCCGGGCTGGGCTGAGCTTCCGCAAGATCAAGAAGGTGCTGGAGCTGGACGACATCCGGGTGACGCCGCAGGCCGTGTACCTCTTCCTCAAGAGGAAGAGCGTGGAGCTGGGGCTGGCAGCACCTGGCTGGGACAGGGACCAGCCCTGGCCTCCATTGCAGGGGCACGAGGCTGAGCCCCCCAGGCTGCTGGGCACCCGGCCCCCTGCAGTGCCCCTGGGGGATCCCACAGGCAGCCAGGACACCAAGGAGAGCATCCAGATGGTTAGTGTGGCCTCCCTCTGCAAGGACGATGGGCAGCTCGGGGACACCCTGCCCGTGGGGCCGGCCCCTGGGAATGGTAAGGCCTGGCTCCCTAATGGGGGCACCATGGCCACCCCCTGTAAGTGCTGGGCTGGGGAAAGGGCCCCATTCCCCACTGGGGAGCCCCCAAGAGCCTCCTTTTGAGGCATTTCTCTCTCTATCCCTTGCAGGTGACGACAGCTCCACAGGCACCCTCTTGGCTCCGGGGAGCTGCCCCGCTCTGAGGGGCTTGGCCACCCCCCATCAGCCACTGCCCAGCCGAGGGCGGCTGGTCACACCTCACACCAGGAACCCAGCCCTGGTGGTGAAGAAGACAACTGTAGACAGGGCTGTTCTCTGGCAGAAAAAGGTAGGATGGCAGGATGGGGGAGCCCATCTGCTCCATCCAGGAGCCGGTGTGGAGCTGCCATCTGGGCAGCTCCCAAAAATGCCCCCCAGCCTCTGTAGGCTGCTTTCCCTAGCAATGCTTGACTGTGGCACTTGGTGAGCGTATCTGGGTAGCCCCTCTGGGGGGGCTGAGGCTGTGGGCTTGCTGCCCACCCACCTGCAGCCAGCACTCACTGCTGCCCTTGGCGGATGCTGGCCATGGAGATGCCAGTCGCTGCCAGCCTTGGCCTCCAACCTGCAGCTCACAGACCTCTCTTTAAGGCCTAGTGTCAGTACCAGCTCAGGAGATTCTCCCAGCCACCCAAGAACACCAGCAGCTGAGTGGCTTGGTGCCACACCAGGAGATGAAGGGCTGTGGACACTCCAGGACAGAGTGACACAGTCAGGATGGCCACCTTCCATTTGCCATAATCCCTAACATGTACCCCCTTGCCTTGCCTCGCTACAAGACCCCCAGGATGTGGCCACACATATGTTGTCTCAGCAGGTCCTTGTCCTTGTGGCCATCCTGCCACCATGGTGGGCACACAGCCACCTGGCCAGCCCCATGGCCATGCCCAGCTCTGCTGGCAGCAGTGGTGACCATGGGACAAACCTCCATGACACAGCAGTCCCCACACCAGCCCCAGGCAGGTGCCAGTGTGGCTGTGTGGCTGCCCCAATGCTCTTGCCCCTCCGGAGCATCTCTAACTTCCAGAGGCTTCACTGATGGGCAGTGCTGTTGCCACATGGAGGGTGGTAGGATGCTGGCACTTGCCTTTCTGGCCATGACATGCTGGGAACAAAACAGCCGTGAGTCAGGCTGGGCCTTCATCCATGACCCTGTCTCTGCTCAGAGAGAGCAAAAGCCTTCTCCAGCCCACTCAGATGTTTGCCAAGAGCCCTTGCCAGCTGCTTGAGAGGCTACCCTGGCATTCAAAACCAGCATGTGATCCCTCACGGGGAGCAGAACAGCCCTTTGCCTCAGGGTGCAGTACAAGAAATGGAAGGGTTAGAAAGCAAAGGCCACGAAATGCTGTTCCTGTGCCTGCAGAGAGCAAACACAAGCCTGGCTGTAGTGTGGGCAGCCGCACTGCTGTCTGGCAGCATCCTGGCTCAACACATGCTGACAGGACACTTGGCACCAGGGACTCCGGAGCGGGGTGGGGATGAAGTGCAGCTCATGCTAAGGTCTAGAGGTCTACAACAACATGATGGCTTTCCCTGAGAGCTTTTCTCTGAGCCTTGTAGCTAGTGCAGAATAAATCTTTCTCTTGTTAAATGCCATCAAAGGGGCAGCTGATAGTGTTTCACCTTCCCAACTCCAGGTCAAAGATGCCAGCACTCAGACTGCCCTGCCGAACGCCTTGGGTCCAGAAAATCACCAACTTGCTTGGGGTGTGCCAGTGCCCCCCTCTGCTCCCAGTTCCCAAGCCATTGCTGAGAAGCTGGACACTGTGCAGATGGAGGTGCAGAGGCTGAGCCAGGCCCTGCACGTGGTGCTGGAGCAGCAGTGCCGCCTGGAGCGCCAGCAGGAGCACCAGCAGCGGCTGCAGCAGGAGGTGCTGATGACGCTGCAGCAGCTCAGCTCCACCGTGAGCCACGGGGCCGTGCCAGCCAACCAGCCCCGCGGCCCCTTCAGCAGCATGGCCGAGCCCTCGCCCACCCTGCCCAACTTCAGCCAGTTCAAGATGGAGCTGATGTGAGCTCCCGCAGTGCCGGTGCGCTCCAGTGCTGTGCTGATGGAGCCAGGAGGAAGAACCACCTCTCAGAGGCTGCCCGAGGATTACGTGCAGCACCCAGCAGAGAAGGTCCCTGGTGCCTCGTGTTCTCAGCCCTGCTGACTGGAAGGGGCTGCCTGGCACGAGGGGCTGGGCAGTGGAAGGCTGAGGCTTCACTCCTGTGCTGCTCATCCTGGCTGGTGCTGGAGCTGGCTGGCGGCCCCCTAAGAGGGACACAGCAGGGAGGTGGGACTCAAAGGAAACATGAGGCTTCCTGCTCATGAGGGTCAATCATGAGTGCTGTGATGGTCAATCACAGGAACACCTCCTGTCCTCCCTCTGCAGAACGTTGTTCAGTAAAAACCTATTTACACCATGATTCAGATCCAGTGGTGGGATCTCTGTCTGCATTTTCCCTCGCTCCAGCAGTGAGTAGGCTGGGTCTGTCTGGGTCACTAGCACCATGAGTGGAACTGCACAGGGTGCTCAAACCCACGAGGTGAGACCAGCACTCCACACATGAAGGGTGTTACTGGAACCTGGCATCAGCTGCTGCACCATTAGGGATGTGGAGGAAACAATCTTTTACTGAGCAGGTTCCACCCTTCTCACCCCACATTCTCAGCAGATCCAGAGTCTGGCACTGCTGCTGCCCATTGTCTGGTAGGACTACACCTGGGCAGGAGCTGATGAACTGGGTGTTCATCTCTCCTCCAACTCCTTTTTCTAGGCAGGACTGTGATCCACAGCAGCAAGGGCTGTCCCTGGAGCAGGCTGCTGGTGCTGCAGAGCTGCTCAAGCAGAGCAGAGCACGATGCTGAGAACTCCTTGCCTGGACCAGAAAGGCTCAGGGAGGCTGATGTACCCTAGCTGCAGCAGTTAAGTCCAGAGAGACCAGATCTGGCTTTGCCTGTCATGGAAAGGTCTGATGGGGGTGGCCTTGGCTCATCACCCAGCAGTGAATCCTGAGAGGAGACAGGGCATGTCCTTCCTCCACATCAGCCAAGCAGCCTTCCGTGTCCAGGCACCACACTTAGCACAACCTGTGCCTAGAAGTCCCCAGCCTGTTTCTTTGGTCTCCTGGAGTCTGAGGTTAAAATTAAGAAGGGTAAGAAACAATTCGGGTATTTCTATGCACACACACACCAATGTAGGTGTATGTGTACACCTGGGCATTTTGCAGGTCTGTGCAGCAGCCCCACTGGGTGGGGGAGCTGAACAGCCCTTCTGCCCCCCTGAGACACATCCCTGGCCCCAGGGCTGTCAGAGCCAGCTGTGCCCAGGAGCATTAGAAGTCTGCTGCGATCTCCCCGCACTCATTCATTTCGATGTTGGTGTAATTTTGGGGACGTCTGAAAAACAACAGATGGAGAAAAACACAAGGTCAGTTGCTCTGCTCTTTTGCACAAGGCAGCTAATCTGCACCTCAGCTTTGCACTGGAAAAGGAGAGGCTGGATGGGCAGCCCTCAGCAGGCACAGCGTTTACTAAGATCTCTGTCAATGTTTCGGAGAAAAACAGGAGCAGAACAGCTGTTTCCCCAAACCTTCTGAGTTTGGATGACCTCCCTGCAGCCCTTGGCCAGTTGAGGTCAGACATGGGAAGGTTTCCAGCCCATGCAACAGTACCAGCACAGACACCAGGAACCTGCTGCCTTCTTGTGCTGTGGGGCCACATCCATGTGAGGTGGACAGATCAAGAATGCACCCAACCCTCCAGCTGCTTAAAATCAGGGCTGCTGATCACAGCAGCCCCAAGGGGGGGACATCTGTGATCTTTTCTAGTTGAGTGCCAGCTGCAGTGCATCACATCCTTCAGCTATGGCTGTAAACACCCAGGCTGGTGAGTGAGCCTGTGGTCCCATTGTCATGGCCACCTGGGCTGATACCAGGGCACAAGTGCCTCCTCACAAACATTAGGAGGCAGCTGTAACTCCAGAGAATGACGCTGACAGTGATTCCATGAAAGAACAGGCCCTGATGGAGAGGTGCCCCTGAGCCACCCTGCCTCAAAACGCCACCCCATCTGCCCTGCCCCACAGCCCTTCGTGTGCTGTTCTTGGGTCACAGAGGACAGACAAGCCCCCCACGCCTCCTGCCTCCCCACACGGACCTGGCCCAGTGCTGCTCTCCCTTCTCATCGATGGTCACTATCAAAAAGGTCCCCATTCCCTTTCAGGCACAGTTCATGCCCAAAATTGCTCTCAACATAGAGCCAGCAGGCTCTCACTCCTGCCCGGCCTGCAAAGGACAAGGAACGCTTCTCTCCCCAAAGCCACCCCCACGAGGTGCCCAATTTCCACCATCTCTCCCTATTTCAGTTAAAGGCGGGAGGAAAGAGGAGGAACACTCAGGTTGTGCCTCTGTCCAGGGGCCGGCGTGAGACGGAAGGAAACCCACCAGGAATGGGAGAAACAGCGGGAAAAAGAATTGACAAATCCCCCCAAAGCCGGGCAGGAGCCCGGCAGGCTGGGAGGGCAGGGGCGGGACTCCCGAGGGGAAGGGGCAGCGGCCGGAGGGGGGTGAGAAGGGATGGGCATGGGCATGGGGATGGGGATGGGGACGGGAGAAGCCCCGTCCCTCGGGGGCCCCGCTCGCCCCGCGCACTCACCGCTCGCCGCCCGGGGCCGGTCCGGGGAGGGCGGGGCGGGGGGAGGAGAGGGAGAAGGAGCAGGAGAAGGAGGGGGAACCGTTCACGGGCTCCATCTCCAGGGTGAATTCACTCGTTCGCCTGTCCCAGAAGATCCCGCAGCGGCTTCTCCCAGCTCTTCTCCCGAGCTGGGGTAGATGGATGGATGGACAGACGGATGGACGGATGCACTCGCATCCCAGAAAGCCCACTGTATCCTGGCTACGTCCCCATGGCTGGCAGGACAAGGGAGAGGATTCTGCCCCTCTGCTCCACTCTGATGAATCCTCACCTGCAGAGCTGCCTCCAGCTCGGGGGTCCCTGCACAGGAAGGACATGGAACTGCTGGAGCGAGTCCAGAGGAGGCCATGGAGATGCTCTGAGGGCTGGAGCCCCTCTGCTCTGGAGCCAGGCTGGGACAGCTGGGGGTGTTCACTTGGAGAAGAGAAGGCTCCCGGGAGACCTGAGAGCTCCTTCCAGGGCCTAAAGGGGTTCCAAAAGAGCTGGAGAGGGACTTTGGACAAGGGCCTGGAGTGACAGGACAAGGGGGAATGGCTTTAAACTGAAAAGGGGGAGACTGGCATTAGGTATTGGGAAGAAATTGTTGGCTGTGAGGGTGGTGAGGCCCTGGCACAGGTTGCCCAGAGAAGCTGTGGCTGCCTCATCCCTGAAAGTGTCCAAGGCCAGGTTGGACGGGGCTTGGAGCAGCCTGGGATAGTGGAAGGTGTCCCTGCCCATGGCAAGAGAGTGGAATAAGTGTTAAGGTCTCTTCCAACCCAAACTATCCTGTGATTCTACGGATGGGTGGACAAAGGGATGTTCAATGGTTTCATATCCATTCCCTCACCCTCCTGGACTCCCCAGCCAGGACTAGCACAGCTGTGCCGTAGGACACTGTGTCTGTCCTTGCACCAGCCTCAGAGACTGAACCAGTAGCTGGAGGGTGGTCCTTGCATGGTGATGCCCTGGCCGTTCCCAGCCTGCCCAGAGCTTTCCCATGGACAGATCCCTGCAGTCTCCATGAGCTACTGTGCTGTTTCTGCTGTGCAGGATCCATGCCCAGCCCGTCTGGGTGCAGAGGGAGGAGCAAGCACCTCTGCACATCTCCCAGCATGGGAGTCTGGGAGAGGGGGTCTTTAAGCCCCCTCAGGTTGCGCTGGGATCTCATTCCCTGGAAGATGGGGAGGAGGCAGCCCTGGCCTTTCTCTTCTTCCCCCTCCTCATCAACTCCCAGGTCCTGCTCCCCCAGATCTGCTTATGGGGCTGCCCAGCCCCTTTCCCTGGATCTCCACATGGGAAGATGTGTGTGGCTCCTGCCTCGCTCCGCTGGACATAAGGACTGTGGCAGGAGGAGGTCCCGCAGATCTCACTCGGGGCTGGTGCCAAACACCCATTTGACTCTGCAGCTGCTCCTGCAGCTATCCTGGATCTGACTCCTGCTCGTGACTCAGCAGCCTGCTGTCTTTCTCTTCCTTCTCACTGGAAACCAGAGCAAGGGGGGAGCTCTGCCAGAGGGGTCACGTTTTCCCCAGGTTTTGCCAGCTGGGCTGAGGGGACCTGTGCCCCCACAGCCTCAGTGTCTTCATGGGATCCACAGCTATTCCTGGAGGAGAGGCTGTGTCACAAGACACAGCCCCTACAGTGCTCCTTGGAGTATAAAACAGTACAAGGGCATCTGCCCCCAGGGAGGGAGGAGCAGGATAGGCTTTCCCAGTGCCCCCAGTGCAGCCCCAGGCAGTGTGTGTGACTGCAGAATGGTGCTGGGGCAGTTCCCACCCAGACTTGAGCAAAATGAACTCCTGGAGCACACGGAGCTGAGTGCCGGCTCTGAGTGCTCTGTGGGACTTCTCCATGACAGAGCAGTGAAGCCAATAATCCTTCTGAGATTGTTTATTCAGTTGAACTATCACATTTTGGGGTCATTGTGATTTTGCAATCATGAGGCTCTGGAATTACAAAGGGTGAAGGAAAGGAAACACCCTTACTCCTTACTCATCCCTTGCTGGATCCATGTGGTGCAGTAACTCCCTGTCATGCTTGTAATGGGTCCCAGACCTGCTCAGGTCCCTGGGGGCTCCCACTCACTTCACCCTCTGCTCACAGACTCACATCCTGGTGTGAGCTTCCGGAGCCCCAGGAAGCTCCTTCCTCCCATCTGTGCCTTTTCCACGCACATCATGGCTCAGCAGCCTGTGGGGAAGCATAGCCAGGTGGGATTTGGAGACAGACCAAACATCCTGCCACGAGGTGAAAGGAGTCTCTTTGGAGCCTGAGGGGCTGCTGCTCATGGAACGAGCAGGGACTGGTGGGGGAGATCTGGGCCCCCAGAGGGAAGAAGTTCAGGGGTGATGGGCACGACCTCCTGTCCATGACCACTGTGTTCAGGCACGTGGTGACGCCGTGATTCCCTTTGTGTCCTGTGTGGCTGGGAGGTGTGCCTGTGGTGCCAGGCAGCTCTGGGCCATGGAGGCACCAGGAGGAAAGCTGCAGGTCTCACTGCGTTGGGGGTCCATGTCTGCTGGGTGGGCTGGGCACAATCATGGCTGTGCTCTCCAACCTCCAGTGAGCACCAGGGCAGAGCTCAGAGAGTCAAGCTTGTACAGCCTGTACAGCCCTGCCAAACCTTCACTAGGGCAACACATCTCACTGCTGGAATGTGCATCCTACCTGTGTCCTGAACCAGCTCTGCTGGTCAGGCTATTAAAGGCAGGAAACCCCAGGAAAATGCTGTATAGGGGTGGAGTTTTCTCAT